ATGGAGACACAAACACACACACAAATGCAATTACAAAAATATGGAAGCAAACACTAAGCACACAATCATAAAAACTAAAACATGAACAAAAATAATTTTTTTTGCTATAATAATTCTCACTTCACATGCCCTAAAAATACACCAACGGACATCATCATTTTAAAGTACAAAAATCCATTGGATACCACCCTCATCCAAACAATAATTTAATCCTAAAATAAATTGCATTATGATTGTGTAACCCCTGACTATTAAACCAAAGAAACTCTCATGCATTATATTTTTATAAATACTCACTAAAAATCCAATTTAACAGCCGATGAAATAATATATCAAGAAAAGTTGGCAAGAAGAAGAATCCTAAAAATCGATAGTAGAGTTTCCGGAAATAGGAATCTGTAATGACTATTTTGAATCCACGAACATATTTGCATCATTAACGAGTTTTTGTATTAGTGGTAAGAAATTATGGGGGAAAAATAAAGAGATTGTGTTCTATTGATCATAAAATAAGGAGCCTATATATAGGCAATACAAAACAGAATCGATAAACTCAAATCTAAATAATTTAATCTATGAATAAGATCAAATATAAATATAAATCTACTAAATCTAAAACCGAATATCTAAAATATCTCAACATCCCCCTCAAACTCAAGTGGTATAATAGAAACCAATTTGAATTTGATAAGAAAGTTGAATAGACGCAAAACAAAAACACAAATAAAAATAGAGTAAACTGTTTTTTTAGTCCCGTAACTGGACACCCTTATCATTTTAGTCCCGTAAGTGGAGCCTGTCGCAAACTAGTCCCATAAGTAAAAAATTTTCGTTGTTTTAGTCCTCCGGCGCCGGAGACGCCCGTGTGGCTCGCCGGAGATGACGTGTCCACCAGGTCAGCGACACCTGGCGCTGACCTGACGGACACGTGGATTTTTTTATTTATTTTTATTTTTTTAAATTTTTTTAAAAACTTATTTTTAATTTATTTTTAATTTTATTTATATATTTTTTATTTTTGAATTTGATTTAATTTTAAAAAATAAAAAAAATTGAAAAAAAAAATAAATCCACGTGTCCGCCAGGTGTCGCTGACCTGGCGGGACACCTGGCGGACACGTCACCTTCGGCGAGCCACGCAGGCGTCTCCGGCGCCGGAGGACTAAAACAACGAAAATTTTTCACTTATGGGACTAGTTTGCGACAGGTTCCACTTACGGGACTAAAATGATAAGGGGGTCCAGTTACGGGACTAAAAAAACAGTTTACCCATAAAAATAATAGTTGACTCTCCATCAAAGCCGAAAATGAGATGACTCTCCACGTGAGCCGAAAACAAGATGACTCCACCGGAGCCGAAAACGAGATGGCCGAAAACGAGATGACTCCACCGGAGCCGAAAACGACATGACTCAACTGGAGCCGAAATAGAGATGACTCCACTGGAGCCGAAAACGAGATGACTCCACCGGAGCCGAAAACAAGATGACTCTCTACCGGAGCCGAAAACGACAGGACTCCACCGGAGCCGGAGCTGAAAACAAGATGGCTCTCCACCGGAGCCGAAAACGGGATGACTCCACCGGAGCCGAAAATCAAATGACTCCACTGGAGCCGAAAACCAGATGACTCCACCGGAGCCAAAAACCAGATGACTCCACCGGAGCTGAAAACGACATGACTCCACCGGAGCTGAAAACAAAATAAATCGCACGCAGGCAACAGAAAAACAGCGGACAGATGGCAGATCATAGACAGATTTCTGACAACAAATAAGTGTGATACCCGAGGTTCTCACTTCTCATTGGCCAATATAAATTTTATATTTTAGGTGCTGATAAATTACTTATATGTTAAATTGTTTATAATTTGGTATATGCCTTACCTATTTATTAATAAAAAAAATATTATCATAATTTATATGAGATTCTAGTAGGATACAAATAGGTTGAGTAAATTATTTGGATATTAGTGGTGTAAGTTTAATATAGATCATTTGAAAATTTATTGTAGTAATTAAATAAAAAGTAAAATAAATAAAATAATAATTATGAAAATAATAATAATAATAATAATAATAATAATAATAATAATAATAATAAATAAATAAATAAATTTAAAAGGAAGTAAGGCGGTGAGGGGTAATAATCCCCACCCCACCACCTGATCAACCAAATCCAATTCAATTTCAATTGCGGCAGAAAGGCAAACGCGAAGGAGAAGGAGAAGAAGAAGAAGAAGAAGGAAAAAAAAGAAAAAGTTTTACGCCGAATTCGTTAAAAGCCTAGTTCAGGTATTTTTCCGTGTTCACGAATTATATATATTTTACTAAATAGAGGAAGTTTTGAGTAGAAATAATTATTTAGTAAATTGGGGTAATATTTGTAATTGATTCTTTTTAGATACGATACTGGAATCGGGAAAAAGGCTTTAAAAGTTAGGATTATTGACGTTTTTGGCGAACTTCACGTAAGTAGAAATTCATATGCAACTACAATGCATAAATATATTATTTTGTAAGTTATTTATGTTTGTTTGATAATATGTGAATATCAGAAAACTGTAATATGTGATTAATATTCTGTTATTATGTGATTTGAGCCTGCGAGCTCCGTATATAAATTGGTTTCAGCCTGTGAGCTCTGTATGTGATATGGTTGAGCCTGTGAACTCCATATTTGATGTTGAAGGAGTCTGTGAGCTCCAAAATTGATGTGGTTTGAACCAGTGAGTTCAATAATATCTGTATATTGTGAAATATGTTGCATTGCATTTTCATTAAACATGCATATCATGCATTGAAATGAAATAAGATGGTTTTACTATGTTCGACCGCTGATTATACACCGAGGGCGGGAGAGGCGACCTGGGAAGAAGCGACCTGGGGAAACCTGGTGTAGGCTACCTGGTGTGACCACCGTCTATTGTGACTTTACATACAATGCATAAACAATGCATTCGGAAGAGGCGACCTGGGAAGAAGCGACCCGGGGAAACCTTACGAGGAAACCCGGTGTAGGCTACCTGATGTAGGCCACCATTTGATTTGAATATATGGATATTGAGCTCTTCCGGTGTATAACAGTGTGTCTAGGGGCCCTGGAAAGCATTTCATAAATAAATTGGTGAAAGCACATTCTGCATAGTGAGAATTTTGAGATAAACTTCACATCATGCATAATTTCTACTTACGGAGATTTATAAATCTCACTCAGTTTATGCATTGTAGGTAATCCTGATGATATATGACTTGGTGGACAGACTGGAGTAGCCATGGCGCTCTTACAGGCATTTTGAGTTACCGTGTACATAGATGACGACCTGTGGGCAGGACCGTGGCTTGTTTTGCTTCCGTTGTTCTGCGGAGATTTAGAAGTTGTATGGTGTTGTTATAAATAGTATGTCGATTACGTAGTTTTTGATATGGTTTGAGATCCTTTTGGTGAATGTTAATAGGTAAATGTTGAGTTATGTTATGTTTTGCCGTAAACAAAAATATATAGCAGGTTAACAGGTTGTTATATATGAAAGTAATTAAGAGGGATTATAGTATGTTTACCGTTTACGAATAGGTTGAATTGGCGTTAGTAGTATAGTGTAAGTGGGGTCGTGTCAATAAGCAACGAAAGATTGCATATCGCTTGCAGCAACAGATGGCAGATCGAACGCAACAACAGACAAAAAACGGACATATGGCAGATCGTTTCAGATCGCTCGCAGGCAACATACAAGCAGCGAAGATTTCAGATTGCACACAAACAATAGACAAGCAGCGGACAGATGGCAGATCGGAGACAAGACGAGACAAATTTGAAAAAAGACAACTTGCAATGTTGCCTACGTGAGATCCGATCTGTCCGATGTTTGCGATTTGTCTGTTTTTAGCAACGGTGGTCATATGGCAAATTGTACACATATTTCCGGCAACAAACAAGCAAGAAAGATGACAGATCGCACGCAGGCAACAGACAGACAACAACAGATGGCAAATCGCACGCAGGCAACAAACAGACAGTCGACATATGGTAGATAGCAAACAGATTTCAGAAGATTTCATATGCAGATTTCAAATTGCACGCAAGACCAAACAAACAACGGACATATTTGAAAAAAGACAACTTGCGAAGGCATGATCTCAAAATCACAAGACCTCCGGGTACAATCCAAGTTGAATGTACCCGGAGAAACACAGGTTGGTAGGCTATATCAACGGCATGAGAAAAATAGGCTCTGATACTATGTTAAAAATTATGGGGAAAAAATAAAGAGATTGTGTTTTATTAATCATGAGCCTATATATAGGCAATACAAAACAGACTCGATAGATTCAAATCTAAGTAATCTAATTTATGAATAAGATCAAATATAAATATAAATCTACTAAATCTAAAATCGAATATCTAAAATATCTCAACATTAGTACTTTTGGCTATTGTTTTCGCAACAATGCAAACACGCATATACTAAAAAAAATTTCTGACAAAGATTTGCACATTTTTAATCATTTAAATTGTGGTTGGATTTTTTGGTTGAATAGAACCAATATAAGTTGATACAATATACCCAGGATGATCGGTAAAGACTGCCCAAGGTCAGTATACCCTGGTTTTCCGGAAGCCGACCCATCTGAGATGATTTTCCCCTAGAGGGGCTGTCCAAAACAACTAATTTAGGTTCATGATAAATTTAACTTTTAAAGATTTGTTGTCCCAATAAGGAAGATAGCTAACAGAAAATTAAACTATTGGAAGAAACATGGCATTAAAATTTGTAAAAGAATCCATCAGGTGGCCTCCCGATGGATGGGGCTATACTGTCTGAATTGGTAGGGAACATTGAATTATCGGGCTGCCTAATCTGATCTGATTTGAAATTCCTGAAGATGATCGAAAAACAGACAGACAAATACCATGTGATTCATCACGTGCTTATGTTACCACACTCATTCCATTATGCAAGGATAAGGCACTTCTTACTTGGCTCTATATATACACACCCAACCCTCATTGGATTTCAATCATCAAACTCACAAAAACTTCATCTACCTCAGTGTTCACATCTTCTTACAATTTACAGACAATGGCCATCCGAAAGATGTTGCGACGATCCTTATCCAGTGAAAGAAGATCGGCATCCGAAGTTCCCAAGGGACACTTGGCTGTTTACGCCGGGGAAAATGAAAAGAAGCGATTTGTTATTCCGGTGGCGTACTTGAACCATCCGTCCTTCCAAGAATTGTTGTTTCAAGCCGAAGAAGAATTTGGATTCCATCATCCAATGGGTGGTCTCACTATTCGGTGCAGTGCCGATTTATTCATCGATCTCATGTCTCAAATGAGCATAGCATAATGCAAACGTGGATAGTATAGATAAACATACATGTACATAGATTTGTTTCTTCTTTTTCATGGTTTCTATCCTTTCTTACACTGAGGATATTTTGCCAAGAAAAAGGGCTGAAGCTTTTGTAAGGAATATAATTGTAGTTACACGAATACATTACAGAGGAAGAACAATATATATTCATCAACCAAATTTATTTTTTTTGCAATTTTTGTAGGTTTATTTCTTTTGGGCTTTTGTTCTGAACCTATAAATATGAAATTGTTTCTCTTCGTATTCACCTTTTCTTGTATTAATAAAATTCTATTGTTCGTTGAACGATAAATTCTCTTTTGTTCAGGCAATATGTGATATTATGTGATTACTCCTCTATTTAGTCTTCAAGTGTTCCTCTCAAAATATAGTTTCTAACACTAATATGTACGAACAAAGTTTAACAAGAGGACTAAAGTGTCTATCTATGCACTTTGTAATAAGTAAAAGATATTAATTCCGATCTATTCATGTATAATGAACAATACTATCAGAATCTATTTGCTGTTCTTCCAATCCAAATTAGAAAGATTGTGTTAGATCTAACAATAAGTTCAACAATATTTTTCACACACTTGTTTCTACAGACTGCAATAGGGCCCGCTGAACAAAACACTACGCATTAATCAATTGAAAATCTTCGATTTTATGATGGTTAGATAGAAAGAAAATAATTAATCTCTGCTTGGAGTTTTTTCCTTTTTTTTTTTTTTGGAACTTTCTACCGGTCATTATTTTTTTTTTAAAAAAAATGAAATCGAATACTTATTTTTTTATTATAATAAAAAACAAATTTATATTTAAAACATCAGATCCTTATTTATTTATATCACATCAAATCATTATTTAATTTAAAGAACTCATGCCTTTCGAACAATTTTGAGGGCATTTCTAATAATAATAAGTCTTATTCCTAATTGGTACACTTAAAAAGCACAATCACATGAGCTGCAATTTTTTTATTTTTTTTAAATTTTTTCTTGCATCAGAACTATGTGGACCTTTGATGCAATGAAATTTACATTATTTTGATGGATCACATGGTGGACCGATTCTCCGAAGAATGGCATTGAAATTATTAGTTCTCCGAAGAATGGCATTGAAATTATTAGTTGACAACGAGAGATGGCAACGGGTCTGTTTGATTTATTGAAGTAGAGACAGTTGATGGATAAATGTCCTAAGGGGACCATATTTTAGACTACAAAAATTGTGTTATCTTTTAATCCTTAGATTTTACAAAGACAACTGCATTTATTTTTCCATGTGCTTGTGTCTCACTATTTTCGTCTAACATTTAGCACCAGCAATTTCTTGATTGCTCGCCTATATATACATACAGCACAAATGCATATTACAATAAAAACTCGTACAATATTTTTGAATCTTACAAAAGCATACATTCGTCAAAGTCTCATTTTCTTGCCCAAATACAACCAACAATGGCGATTGTACAAAAGCTGAGACGAGACGGTCTTTAGCAAGCGAAAGAAGATCAGCCGAGGTTCCTAAGGGGCACTTGGCCATTTACGTTGGGGAGACCAGTGAAAAGAAGAGGCTTGTTGTTCCAATGTCTTATTTGAAGAACCCTATGTTTCACGAATTGCTGTCTCAAGTTGAGAAGGAATTCGAGTTTCATCATCCAATCGGAGGGTCACCATTCCCTGCAGTGAGGATTTATTCGTTGATCTCACGTCCCATTTGCACAAGTTGTAGAGTATACATTTGTATAGATACATAGATACAGAGAGAAGATAGATTTTTGTTGTGTTTATGAGGCATTTACCATTTTGTATGCACAATATTTTCTTTATCCTGACATGAACTGTAGTTTCTTACAAGAAATAACGGTCAACAATCACATTGCAAGAAAACCAATTCCATGATGTAAAATCACAACCTATTTTGGGCAGTCATTGCAAATTCTATACAAAGTTTGTTACAATATATATGTACAAATCTTTTAAATAAGGCTATGCCATAATTACAGGATATGTACTTTCCAAATACATATTGTAACAAAGATGCTAGTCAAAGACAAATGATTTCATTTCCTTGCTCTAAAAAAAAAAGAACTCGACAATGATCATAAGGAAAAACCACGTAGCCTATAATGTGGTTTTCTTACAACATGGAAGGGCATTAGGAATGCGAGTAGTTGATGAAATGCTCGAATGCAAGAATTTTAAGTTCACATGGTGGACCGATTTATGAGGACCCCTTGATTGTTGTGGAAAATTGGTGTTCAATCTTTCCATGCTTTTTACAGAGGGAAAATTGTAAAAACTATTCCGACTATATGTCTAATTATTACTTTTGTCTTTTAATTGTCACAATAGCAAAATATATTCTGAACTTGTCCCAACTCACAAAATCGCTATTTCAGTACTATGGTTTGCGTGTGAGTTTCATAGCTTGCCAAATCCACTATATTTTTAGCCAAATGGTGACATGTCTAGGATTTCTTCATAAAAATTGTAACATGTCCACGATGTATTTTGCTAGGATGTCCGTCAAGTGCTAGTGAGACTGACAGTTGCGAAGGGGATTCAAATTCATGCGCGATCAATATACTGAAATAGCGAAATTGTATCACGTGGAAGATATATTTGCTAGGTTGACAATTAAAAGACAAAAGTGATAACTGATTATACATACAAGATAGTTTTTGCAATTTCCCCTTTTACGGATTTTATATATGAATGAACTGAAAGGGAAACAAAGTTTGAAAGGCCACAAGTCAATGTGATTCATTAACATCTTCAACGGCAGAGAATTGTAGTATTTGAAAGTACATTAATTAAGGATGATCGATGTTCACCATTTCATTGAGTTGATATATACGTATATAGTGTTTACGACCGAACTTACAACTACAATCAACAATAGGTCCTCCGAAAATGTAATTTCTAATGCTTTAGTATACCTTATTCATGAAGAGCAAAATCTGAAGAAGGTAAACTACCTAGTGTAATATAATCTGATATTTTTTGGACAATATCTCCATACCAGAAAAAATCTTACATTCGTATTTTAATACGTTATAATTTACGAAAGATCAATGGCTATAAAATTTTGCTGAATTACTTCTTGCGTCTGAGACATTTGGGACAATGCTGTCTGAGTTGGTAGGGAACATTGTAATATTGAGCTGCCCTAATCTGATCTGATTTGAAATTCCTGAAGATGATAAAATAACAGACAGACAAATCCATGTGATCCATCATGTGCTTGTGTTATTACACTCATTCGATTATGTAAGGGTAAGGCATTTGTTAGCTGGCTCTATATATACACACCCACCCCTGGTTGGATTTCAGTCATCAAAGTCACAAAAGCTTTCATCTACCTCCCTCTCACATATTCTTACAACTTGCCACAGATTTACGGACAATGGCCATCCGAAAGATGCTGCGACGATCCTTATCCGGTGAAAGAAGATCAGCAGCTGAAGTTCCAAAGGGACACTTGGCTGTTTATACGGGCAAGAATGAAAAGAAGCGGTTTGTTATTCCGGTGTCGTACTTGAACCATCCTTCCTTCCAAGAATTGTTGTTTCAAGCTGAAGAGGAATTCGGGTTCCATCATCCAATGGGTGGTCTCACTATTCCGTGCAGCGCCGATATATTCATCGATCTCATGTCTCAAATGAGCATAGCATAATAATGTATACATGGATACTATAGACACACACACACTTAAACATAGTTGGGTGGATTTAGTTCTTAATTTGTCCTGGCTTCCATCCTTTCTTACACTTAAGGATTTTTTGCCTGGAACAGAAACACTTGTAAGGAATTGTAGTTAGGAGAAATATATTACAAAGGAAAAACACTCGTTGTCCAATGTGATTTGGGCAATTTAATTTATTCAATTCCTTTTCCATAAACCATTGTTTGATTATTCAAATGTTCCTCTCAGAATATTAGTTTCTAATACTAATATGTTGTAAAGAATTTTAACAAGACATTAAAGTATATATTTCAACTTTGTAATTACCAAAAAATATTTCTAACCTATTCTGATGCAATTTGCTTGACTTTTTGTCTTTTCCTGTTTTTCCTCAGAAGTGGATGAAATTCTATTGCGATTATGTTCAATATTTTTCAGCCATTTGAGGTCACCTAGGACATTAATTACAATGGCATATTTCTATTTTTTAGGCTTTTAGTTCAGATTTTGCGAAATTTTTCTATTTTGGATTTTTTTTATTATTACTTTTTTAGGTTTAAGGTTTGTGAACCTAAAAATATTTTATTTCTCTCTTCACATTCACTTTATTCAATTCATTTGGTGCAACTATCTCAATCCATGCAATCAGCATTATCTTTATAAATTTATAATAGCACCAAATACTGTGATCTTCTAATCAAAGGTAGAAATATAATGTTAGATGTCTGTTTTCAGACACATACCCCAAAAAAATAATCACAAACTGTGTTCCTTTGGTGTCCGAAAACCTTAGTCATAAGCATAGTTTTGCAGTTCATATTGGAGAAGGTGGAAATGAGGGATTTCCTTGTTCCGGCTTCATTTTTAGTGCTCGCTATAATTTCACTATTCGCCAAATCGGAGCTTATGTGCTTTACAGATGTCTGTAAAAAAATATTCATGTTCATTTACAGCAAAATAACTTCTAAATATAACTTAGTATTCAGACAGCAGGATGACCTCACCAGAAACTCATTTGTATCGAACATTTTCATATCTGTTAAGAAGCACAATCACATGAGCTGTCAAGTTCTTTCGCAACAGAAACAATGTGGCCCTCTTTGATGCAATAGCTTTTTCATTCAGTTCATCACATGGTGGACCGATGTTTGCAGGTTTGGAGGGAAGGCTGGCATTCAAATTATTAAGGGGACTCTGATCCAATCCAATTAGTAGTTGCGATGTGTCTGTCTGATTTATTTTACTATAGGGACACTGGATGGATGCATGTCCTAAGGGGACCATATTTTCAACTACAAAAATTGTGGTATCTTTTGATCCTTATGATTATACGAAGACAATGGCATTTATTTTTCCATCCCATGTGCTTATGTCTTAATATTTTTCATAGGCAACACATATCCTACTCAAAATGTTGGCCACTTGGTCATGCATTTAGTACATGGCACTTCTTGATTTCTCGCCTATATATATACAACACAAAATGTGGATTAAAATCAACAACTCTTACAAAACCTTTCATTCTTACAAAAACACATCTTTGTAAAAGTCTCATTTTCTTGCCCACTACAACCAACAATGGCTATCTTACAAAAGCTGAGACGGTCTTTATCAAGCGAAAGAAGATCAGCCGAGGTTCCAAAGGGGCACTTAGCCGTTTACGTTGGGGAGACCAGCGAAAAGAAGAGATTTGTTGTTCCGGTGTCTTATTTGAAGAATCCTATGTTTCAAGAGTTGCTGTCTCAAGCCGAGGAGGAATTTGGGTTCCATCATCCAATGGGAGGCATAACAATTCTCTGCAGCGAGGACTTATTCATCGATCTCACATTCCACCTGCGCAAGGCAGCGTAAAGTACAGAATCAGTGTATAGTTAGATAGACAGATAAAAGTAGATATTTTTTTTATTTTTCAGGAATTTATCCTTTCACAGAGGATTTTTTTTCTCCTGGATAAGAATTGTAATCCCTTACAAGAAATCAATGAAAAAACTTAGCTGTTGAACAATTTCATGATGTAAGAGCGTTACCTGATTCAGGCAGGTTTTGTAAATTCTATGCATAAGATCTCACTCATTGTTAGTGAATAATATGCTTCAAATATTTTAAACAGTTTATGATATTAATATTATAAATATACTAAGTAATTATCTAAATAAAGTATCTAAATAAAAAGTTATTATTATTTTCCTATTTGGGTTCATTTGATGTAGTCAATTTTAATATTCCTTGTCTTTTGAATTTAGAGAAAAATAATATACACATCAGCTCTTCTTCTTCCTTGTAGCCTGTGAAAGATTGATTGAGTTTACGAAGCTTTTCCCAAAAATTGTTGGTCGTGTCAGAAGACATAACCATGTGATTATCATGTGCTCGTGTGGTTTGACTGCTCAGCAAATATCAACTATATTTATGAGTATATGTATCCACCTGATCTAGTGCTCAATCTAAACCGTTTTGATGCTGTTAAGTAATCTCAAACATGATTTAGGATGAGACATGGCAACAAGTCCTCATGATTTATTACAGTAGTGCTGTAAATGTCTCAGATGCAAGAAATCATATAGAAAAAAGTTTCGAATCCATCACTACTTGGAGGTTATATTTCTTAACAGACATCGCATCATTGAACTTAAATCGGGCTGTTCTATTAGTTAACAGAAACACAAGCACATGATATTCACATGATTGTGTCTTGTAATAATTTATAGAGATTCTAGAGCAAGAAAATAAAGCCATTAGATGATATGTGTATGATATGTCGACTCCTTTCACTAGAAAACACAAACGTACTGTAAGAAAATTACAGAAACAATGATGGCATGTAATTAAACTTGTGCAATGGAGTTAATTAAGAGGAATTCTAAAGTCACTTTGGAGAGTTCAAAAGACACCTTAACCTATGAATCAATGAATCAATTAACTATTATTTTGAATGTATATTGATTATCTATTTAAATGGATGTACGTATGAATAATCAGTGTGGTGGTACTAACAAAATTTCTTTATCCATTTTACATAGTTACACCTCTGCTGCTACTTTATTAATCCAACAATATTGGTATCAGAGCTACAACAACAATGGCTTCTACCAATTCCTTCAACCGCAGGTACCCAACTTAATCAAGAACAACTACCGTATGTGGAGTATCCAAATGAAGGCATTGCTAGGTTAACTTGACATTTTGGACCTTGTGGAAAATGACCACACAGCAGCATCGACATCGGCGGAGATTACTGCGGAGAAACAGAAGGAGATGAAGAAAAAGGAAAACAAGGCCTTGTTCACAATATATCAAGGAGTTGACGAATCCACCTTCGAGTTAATTGCTACAGCAAAAATAGCGAATGAAGCATGGGAGATATTAAGGAAAGCCCACGATGGAGTTGAAAAAGTACAGAGGATCCGACTTCAAGCCTTGAGAGCACAATTTGAATCACTGCGCCAGAATAACTCGGAGTCTATCTCTGGTTATTTTTCTCGAGTTGTATCTATCGTCCAAGAGATGAGACAATGGTGAGGAGTTAAGCAATGTTCGAGTGATTGAAAAGATCTTGAGATCCTTGAATTCGAAGTACAATTATATAGCCGTTAATTGTGGTTAATGGCGAGCAATGAACGGGATGCAACAAATGATTTTATGTGGTTCTTGTATATTGGTGTCTCAAATCACATGTGTGGAAGAAAGGAGTTTTTCGCCAAGCTTGATGAAAGAAGACTCGGAAACATTACGTTTGGCGATCTCTCACAAAAGTCAATCAAGGGAAAAGGAGACATAAATTTTCAGCTTCACAATGGAAGACAAGTAAGCATTTATGATGTTTATTATGTTCTGGATATAAAGAGCAATCTTTTGAGCGTTGGGAAATTGCTGGGGAAAGAATATGTTGTGAAAATTGAGGATTTGGCTCTAAGCATTCGTGATAAGAATAATCGTCTTATTACCAATGTAAAGATGACAAAGAACAGGATGTTCCCATTAAAGTTGAGCATCAATGAAGTGAGCTCTCTCAAAGCAACCAGCATTCACAACCCAACACTTTGGCATCTTCGCTACGGGCACTTGAATTTTGAGGTGTTAAAGATTCTTGAGAAAAATAATATGGTGATTGGGTTACCAGAGATGAAGTATCCTAGCAAGGTATGTGAGGTGTGTGTCATGGGAAAATAACAAAGGAAGTCATTTCCGAAGTACAAATCAAAGAGGGCGTCCACCTGACTTGAACTAGTGCACTCCGATGTGTGCGGACCAATTTATCCTCATTCTGTTGGTGGTAACAGGTACTTCTTAACCTTCACGGATGATTATAGTGGGAAAACATGGGTTTACATAATGAAGGAGAAAAAAGAAGTTTTTGAAAAAATCAAGGAATTTAAAGGGCTTGTTGAAAAACAAAGTGGATGTCAAATAAAATGCTTGCGAACCGATCGAGGGGATGAATACACATCGCGGGAGTTTGATATGTTTTGTAAAGAGAATGGGATCTCACACCAATTTACTATGCCACAAACACCACAACAAAACGGTGTTTCGGAGAGAAAAAATCAAACAATTCTTAACGTGGTTTGATGTATGCTTAAAGAAAAAAATGTTCTGAAAGAATTTTGGGGTGATGCTGTGGCCTGTTTTGTTTATCTATTAAACATATTCCCGACTAAAAGAATTGGTGATATCACTCCCAAAGAAGCTTGGAGTTTGCGCAAGCCAAAAATTGATCATCTACGAATTTTCGGAAGCATTGCGTATGCTAAAGTGCAAGAGGAGAAAAGAACGAAGCTTGAAGACAAAAGCCAAAAAGTATCTTCTTGGGATATGACGAAAATTGCAGTGGATACAAGTTGTACAATCTGGTGACTCGAAAGGTGGTGATGTCAAGAGACGTGGAGTTTGATGAAGAGCATCATGCATGAGATTAGAACCTCCCAAACCAGTCTGTTCAAGTCCCACTCGAAGATGAGCTTGAAATCACCAAGGAAAGACTAGAAGAAGCAGGAGAAATTGAATCCCCATTTTCAGAACACATCCGAGATGGTCTTACTATCAAAGGTCCCACTATCAAAAGTCTTACATCCGATCTTATCCGACTACCAGCAAGGCCCCACTATCAAAGGTCTTTCCCGGACTACATTGCTTTGGATCACCCATTACCTCGGAATGATCAGATCCCAGAGCTTTTATTGTTTTCAAGGAAATACTCCAGCTCTTTGATTGAGTATGTTATCTGATTCATGGCTTAGTGTGGATGAGAGTTTTGGAATAATGATTGGTATACACTTTAAGTATTCTCATTGTCCTTGACTGGCTCAGCTTTCACCTAGTATGCTTCGCTGCCCCAAATTCCTTCCACATGTGGGTAGACTTGGAGAAGGTTTTCCATGAATGTTTTTACAACTTCCTTCCATAGGTGACAGTACCACATCCGACAAATCTACATCAATAAAGTGAGGAATCTGTTGAGAAGTTCTTGGAACAATACCGAAGGTCATAAAGTATATGTCAGGTTCTTATACCTCACAACTAGGTGGTGAACCTTCACATAGACAACATGCCATACTAGATTCGTGACAATTTGACCCTCCAAGAATACCAAAATTTTCGAAAGTTGACATCCAAAGCCGTGAAGGACGCTCAAACATCCCAATAAAAAGTTCTGGAGCAAAAACCATCAGGTTTATGCTCAAGAAGATACTTCCAATGTTAAGGACGAACCAAATGAGACCTTCTAGACTGAGATATCCCAAGGGAAGACTTATACTTGTCTGACCCTTAAGTCGTCCCAGCAAAATAAGACAAACCCGAAGGTGTCATACTATTTTGATATTGCTAATACATAACAAATTTTTAAGTATCTGCTGAAGAACAACTAGCTCTGTCTCAAGAAAGGGCACAAAATTATGATGGCTGATGAGCTTAAAGGAAAGTCATACTACAAATGGCAAGGGATTTATGTACACCAAGTTAGACATTGCATTGCACTGAGGAATGTGGTGTAGAAGGTCATCAAGGAAGGTCACCTCCGGCTGGCCTAGCTGAGATAAAGGTTGATAACTGAACCATTCTCTGCGCCGATAAACACCATTAGAGTATGCCCAGCAAGGTTTGGGAAGTCGGTATTAGGATCCTGTAAAGACAATAGGAAGACGGAACATCGAAAGCCAATGTTTGGAATGCTTGGGAGGTCAATTAAACTCCCGAAAAGGAGCTCGGTATGGGATAGACTCTCCTCTACAAATACGGTCGCAGAAGTAAGCTTTGAGAATGATGGAGAGATCTGGTGAATGAATTCAGTAGATCAGGTGGTGATCACACCACACCTGACACATCATCTCAAGAAGGCTCTGGAAGACGAAAATTGGGCCATGAACCAGAAGGAGCAAAGGTCAAGGCCTTCCACTAGGTTCTGAAAAATGATAATGCAACGTCAATGCCGAGATTTACAACTCTATCAGGAAGGTCAGGTAGGGCGGCTAGAATAGAGCCGAAGCGTGTTCTACCAAATGATGAGTTCATTGTGATCAGCAACCTTAGGAAACATTCAAAATTACCCGGTCCTAGAGGATGAGCCAATGATTGGTGCGCTGGATTGCGATGAGGTATCAAAAGAAAATTTGGACATTTTAGTGACTCATTGAGACCTTTAACGAGCTTTACATTATGAGGGTGGTTTCAAGGTTAATGTGGTTGGATTTTTGCCTCGGGAATTTGAGGTTCTTCAGGTCCAACCAATCTACCTTCAACGGGATGTGATGGTTGAAGAGGCCGCTCTGTTATGTTGAGCGGAATAGGACGTCGACCTTCCAAACAATGGTCATTGGTCGAAGGGGGAGCCCTTGTTCCTTATGATATATCTTTTCGAGCAGTAAATGAGTAAGGTCTTGGTCGAAGGGAGATCTTTCATCAATATGATGATCTTGTCTATTTTGAGTAATATTAGGAAAATGGGAATGACCTTATCTCGACAAAAATATGGCCAACTGACTTTATGGAAAATGTCCATATAGTTGCTAGCGTGTTAGTGGCCAACGGGATGGTCGGAATCAGGACCGCCTGATTGCATTCTTTGTCATTGAAGGGAAGCTGACATACTCGACCATTTTCTAGAAGGACTG